TTATTTTTTTTGTGCTTTTTCCAAATATGGATACAAATTTAACGACTTGTAGTGTGTTCTTATAAGGATAGACAAATTTTTAAATTTTTTTGAAAAGATGGAACTGCATTTTGTTTCTTATTAATACGTTAATAGATTATGGTAAGTTGTAGAGAATACATGTGCCAAATTGCAATAACATGTAAGGGTGGTTAGTAAGTTATGAAAAGAAATTGGCAAAGTTAATAAAACTACCTGTATCTCGGTTATAAATGACGAAAGAATCATTAAGTAAGGTTATTTGGAATAATATCAGTAGCATAAAAACTATTTAATTTTAATTTATTTTAATTTATTTTAATTTATTTTAATTTATTTTAATTTATTTTAATTTATTTTAATTTATTTTAATTTATTTTAATTTATTTTAATTTATTTTAATTTATTTTAATTTATTTTAATTTATTTTAATTTATTTTAATTTATTTTAATTTATTTTAATTTATTTTAATTTATTTTAATTTATTTTAATTTATTTTAATTTATTTTAATTTATTTTAATTTATTTTAATTTATTTTAATTTATTTTAATTTATTTTAATTTATTTTAATTTATTTTAATTTATTTTAATTTATTTTAATTTATTTTAATTTATTTTAATTTATTTTAATTTATTTTAATTTATTTTAATTTATTTTAATTTATTTTAATTTATTTTAATTTATTTTAATTTATTTTAATTTATTTTAATTTATTTTAATTTATTTTAATTTATTTTAATTTATTTTAATTTATTTTAATTTATTTTAATTTATTTTAATTTATTTTAATTTATTTTAATTTATTTTAATTTATTTTAATTTATTTTAATTTATTTTAATTTATTTTAATTTATTTTAATTTATTTTATTTTATTTTAATATATTTTAATTTAATTTCGTGTGATTTCTTTTAATATAAATTAGTCATCGTTCACTCACCCATTGTTGATACACCTTGTATCAATATAGATGCATATAATATATATTTATTAAATAGTCACAGAGAGTGAATGCATTTAAGAAACTTATTGGCTTCATGCGAAACCCAAGAAAAAATTTTGGCAGCTCATGTGTTAACATAAAATAGATCTTAAAATGAAAATCCAAATATATCTAAAATAAATTTTTTGGATGTCACATAACCTAGTGTGTAAAGTTCTAATATACTCTATGGTGGATGTCAGATAGTCGGGTGAGTAAGTTTTAATATACTGAATGTTGGATGTCAGACAGTCGAGTGAGTAAATTCTAATATACTTAATGGTGGATGTTATACAGTCGAGGGACTGAAATATTTAATATACAAAATATACAAAACCAACTGACGCGAGCGCCACCTTCGCATCTATACACTGGAACTAAATATATACATAAAATTGAAAATTAAGCATTATGAGATCCAGCTGAAATTTTTTTGGCGCCCTTTTAAACTTACTTTATGATGTTTGAACCCCAAAAACGTTGTGACATCCGAATTTGGATGTCACATCGCAGACGGATGTTATAAAGATAGCAACATTTTTGCGACATGATGTCACAACGTCGGCAGGACGAATCTATATATATATATATATATATATATATATATATATATATACATATTACAAGAGAAAAATTCAAAAAGTACAAAATTCGTGTTTGCGATTCGTATATGGTATCCGCAGAAGACAACGAATATCATATAAATTAAAACAAATTGAATGGTTGAATATGGACAATAGAAGGACTCATCACGCATTATGTATTTTTCATAAAATTATTACCACCAAAAAACCATCATATCTCCATAGGAAGGTTACATATCGCACCGACATACATAATTTAAATGTTAGATTTAGGGGTGAAATTACAGTTCCTCGATTTAGAATTGAAATGTATAGGCGGTCCTTTAAATATCAAATATTTAAATTATACAATTCTTTACCATGTGAACTGAAAAGTTTAAATATAAACAAATTTAGGACTATATCAAAAAACCAGTTGTTCAATTCACAGATTTAGTTTAGAGATCTACATTAAACATCAAACAGACTTTCTTGTGTTCAAGCAATATACAAACATTTTCGTATTCGTTAAAAATTACCATTTAGTATAGGTTGTTTGGGGTTTAGGGGTTTAAGGGTTAAGTGGTAGAACATGCTTTGTAAATGATCAAACATTTACAAAGGATGAACTTCGCCCATTATTTCTATATTTTGTTTTATTATAAAATAATTTTTCTACGCCTATGGAATAATATGTCAATTATTAACGCTTTTTCTTTAAATAATAGTAGTCATTATTTTTATCTGTTGGCATATGAATCATAAGCCAACGGTATTTGACCAATCACAGGCCACGAATTTTCATAAGCCAACAGTTTTATTAGTTGCCCATGACAACGGAAAAGGCACCACAGTATTATTCCTGTACAACACTGCTTCTCAGTTGTCATTTGTAATTTTGTCACGCTTGACCAGCACTTGACACTTCTGTCTCCGAAAACTGAAAAAGTGTAAAAGTTTGTCTCAAAAACCTATAAATTGTCTAATCAAAACACAAATGGATGAAATGGACGATATTGACAGCGACGAAGAAAATTATACCCCACCGGATATCGTAGAAGCAGCGAAAATAACATCGGTAGACTTGCTACCTAAAAAATCGCGAAATCTTTACGAAATAGCGTATAAAGCTTTTATGGATTGGCGAGACCGCAAAAAAACTACCTCGTTTTCCGAAAACGTGTTACTAGCCTACTTTGGAGAGCTAGCAGAAAAATACAAATCTTCGTCCCTCTGGACTCAATATTCGATGTTGCGAACGACACTAGAGGTACGACAAAACATAAATATAGCAACTTACGGAAAGTTAAAAACTTTTCTTAAACGCAAATCTGATGGCTATAAGGCGAAAAAGTCCAAAACATTTACTCCAGATGAAATAAATATGTTCATTGAAAATGCAGATGATAAAAAATATCTTGCAACAAAGGTAGGAATTAATAAATAAACATAATTATAACAATTTTAGAGACTGTCTATTTGTCCGAGCGCTCGGATATGAATAGTAGATTGCGCTAAATATCCGGGCATTGAGTCATCATTCGTTGTTCTTAATCCTGTAACACAAGTAGACGGGTATCGTGTGGCGTGGTCTAGTGGACTGGGCATCGACCTGTAGATCGATAGGTCCTAGGTTCAATTCCGGGCCTTGGCAGTTTTTTTTTTTATTTTATTTTTTCTTTTTATGTTCTTTTAAGTATTTATATTTTTTGTTCGAGAATATTGTTCCACAGGTTAGTTCAAGTTCCACCCAAAAAAGTTGGTTTCGTTTAAAAAAAAAAAAAGATTAAAAATTCTACCAATGGTAAAATTTATGTTGGAGTATATTGATCCACCGGTTAGTTTTGAAATTTAAAGTTCTGTCTGATTTTACTAAAGAAAAAAAATAATAAAATAAAAACGGTTGAAAGTAGATATTTCAATTATTTTTTACGCCCGGATATATAGCTCAATCTATTATTTGTCCGAGCGCCCGGACGAATAGACAGTCCCATAATTTTAAACATTGAAGTTGTTAATCGATTTTACTAATTTTGCCATTGATTTTTGTTTCAGGTAGCATTAATTCTTGGTGTAATGGGTGCCTGTCGTTGTCACGAATTAAGAAATATGAATATTGAGCATATTGAAGTTTTTAATACATCCATGCTAATTACTGTGCCCAACACAAAAACAAAAGTCGTTAGAAAGTTCACCGTAACAGGAAAATTTTGTGAAATGGTTAAAAAATATATTGATTTGCGTCCCCCCACAGTTGCCTCGCCGTCTCTCTTTTTGAATTATCAAAATGGGAAATGCTCTCGGCAATGGGAAAACAAATTGACAATTATTTAAATCTGCCCAACCCCGAAATGTATACAGGACACAGTTTCAGGAGATCGTCTGCCACAATACTAGTAGATGCAGGAGCCAACATGACTGCATTAAAAAGACATGGGGGGTGGAAGTCCGCAACGGTGGCGGAGGGATACATCAACGACTCCTTAAATAATAAAATGACAACTGCCCAAAAAATACTTCACTCAATACAAAGCAAATCCACTATTACCACCATCGAGACTATAACCAAGGTCAATGAAAATCAAAAAATGGATGTGGCCACCGAATCACTTACTATTCAGAACTGCCAGAATTTCACAATAAATATTCACCAACATAATCCGTTAATTGATAAATAATCATTTTATTATCCATGTTATTAAAAGTTAATATGAATAAATGTAAAATGGTTTATTTGAGTAAATTTAATTTAATCTGCATTTTAATTATTTCATAGGCGTAGAAAAAGTATAGTATTATACTATATATTTTGTTTTGTATTTTTATAGAAATAATAAAGACATTATTATTATTATTATATCAAATCAGATAAGTTTTCCAAGTTACTCAAAAACTTGGTGGCGCTAAACATTTTTTTGTCGTTATCGTATTGTAATATCTTTCATTTTATCGTAGACTTTTGCCCGCGAATCGGTCAAGCTACTCTGATTTCATTTGTCCTGGTCAATTTATGAAACCACGTAGTATCAGAGATAAATCACCTATTTAATACAATTTACATTGAAGAAATCTAAAAAGAAGGTAACATATTCCAGGTTGAAATGAATTTATAAAGCAAGGAGGGAATAAATGTTAATATTGAGTAAATTAAAGTCATGAACATCATATAAAAATATTAAATAATAATAATCTCCTAGAAGCTATAGCAACCTCATCTGAAAGATTGTTGAGAAGAGTTATACCTTCCACTAAAACAATCACAAAAGCGGTAGTTATCAATTTTACCAAAAAGATGACAAGATTATTATGACAAAATAACAGCATAAAACAAAGTATATATTCAGATTAGCTTTCTCTCTTTTGCGGATTCAGATTATATCCTGTATTGTGTTCAATTTGGAGCACACTATTCATAATTTGTTAGTTAGTTCTTACCTTGAAGCTGGTTTAGGAACATTATTATTACAATTATTTTCGCGTGGAGAGGCATTTCCATTTGCCTGTGAATCGCTTCTGTTCGACCTCAAAGTACGTCTTCTAGCATTAATTTTCCCACTGCCGTCGCCATTTTGGTTTAAATAGTTACCATTGTTCATGTCATGTGTGTTGTTGAGGTCACTTTCTTGTTTTAATCTAAAATAAAAGTGATGCATAATTAAAAATTTTACCAATTACAAAACTGAAAAAAGATAACAAATTAAGTCTATGAGTGAGAGACTTGGATACTGGACCATTACAAAAAATATTAAGAACTATTCGTAGTATACCAGACAATAGTAATAATTAATAACCTAGCAAATCAAGGATTGATAAGGTTGGCACATGTTAGTAAAGTAGATGATGAGTGAGTGCTAAAAAAAGTAAAGCAATGAAACTCTACTGTTAGAAGACCAAGGAGTAGACCTAGAATGATTATTATTTAACACTACAATACATCAGCCAATGACAAACGCCAAACAAAACAAACTGTATTTGAAAACAATGAATGATGCAGTATACCGAGCAAGATCTAGTTACAAACTGGAGAGTATCGAGTGAACCATCTCTATCTGATCATGTTAGAGATCGACACTCCTGAGACGATTCCCAAGAGGAAGTATAGAAATAAGACGGAAACAAATTTTGTTTTTAATTTTAACAAGTTTTGCTATGGCAATTCAATATTAACAAAAAAAAAACAGTATGTTAACCTAAAATATTATTCAAAGATCCAAGTTATGTGCCAGTTTTCATGACATAAAAAACAAGTTTTTATTAGAAATACTTACTCATTTTTTGTTTCCTCACAATATGTCTCGTATATTGCATATTTTGTGACAATTTGGCCGACTTCCTCTTTATATAACAGCAAGTCATTGAGAGTATAATCAAAATAAACTCTTAAACCATCTAAAACTTCTCTACAAATGGTTAAACTAAAAAATAAAAAAAAAATGAAAATTATTAAGAATGAACACTTAATTTTGTTTATTAAATGTTAAGAGATTTTTTATTTACATTTTTTTTTAAATGCTCAGAATTTATAATTATGGGTTATATAATTTTAAAATCCCACAAATGTCCAGTGAGTAGACCTGTTCCACTTTATTGTTTAAACAGTTTATTTATTTTAATTTATATTTACTAAAACACTAGTTTATTTATTAACTAAATTTATTTGTTCTCAAAACTAAACCGTTTCTAATAATCCTCAAATCCAGCTGGTTACACTCTATTTTTGGCATAGCTAATTTCTGTACATTTTATTTCATTATGTGCTACCTCAAACTAGCTAATCATGATAAGTGGAAAGAAAAGGAAACGTAATTCTTTTTGAAGTTTTAAAGTTCTTCCAAGAGCTGGTAACTGACCTTGAAGTTCTGGTAATGGACCAAACTTCTTCTGGAAAATAGATGCCAGTCCTCATGCGTCGTTGATACTGGCGGGAGGGTTATGGACCAGCGAGTAGTCCTTTGGAAACGTGAGCAGATCTTGTTGTTGTTAGGTCGTAACACTGTATCTTGCTATACCGATACCTACCTCTTGCTTGACCGGTAGTTGCCAATGGACTTATTCATTCGCTCTACCATTCCTTCCGACTGTGAGTTCAATACTGTAATTCTAGTTTTTTTCACGCGTAGTCTGTCACAAATTCTTCGGAAAAACTTTCAAAATTTCTGCCTTGGTCACTGGATCTCCAAGGGCACTTCAAATCGACTAATATACGCTTTTATCAACACATCTGCATCAGTTGCGGTCTCTTGATTTGGAATGACGTAGACTTCCAAGCATATCGTGAAATAATCCATAACCACCATCATGTATTTATTACCATTCTTGGTCATGATGAATGGTCCAGTAATCCTCTCAAATGAGGTATCGAGGTTATATTGTTTCATAAGAGCATTCATTTTCCAAAGGGGTCCTTTACTCATAGCATAGGTAGTACAGTTCTTACACCAGTCCTTTACATCATCGAACTGTTCATCTAATAAAATCTTCCATAAACCCTATGAAGAGTTTTTTAACATCAAGATGTTTTTCTGATTGACTGTCGTGAACCTGACGCTAGTTTTTGGAATGGCCAACTGTCTTCTGTTTTAAGAAGCATAATTTTCGAGTACGCGCCTTCTTTCAGGATACCAAAGTTCCACTGGGCCAAACCTAACCCTACCTGCTTATAACCGACAAAGATAAAGAGCCAAATACTATTGGGGAGAGCTTCAATACTTATTGCTTAGTAGGTCGACGATTTTCCTCTTTCCATTGTCGCATCTTCCCCAACTTTGGTTTGCGGCCCACTCATCGATGACTACAGTTGCTCTGAGTAATGCATTTTCTTTGGATTCACCTGATGCAGTGTGAGCATTCTGCCGGGCACGGTCTTCTAGAAAGAAAATTGTCTTTTCTGTGGCTTATGCCGATTTAATGTTCAATTTTAAAGTCATACTCTTGAAGTCGTTCAATCCATCTGGCTTTTTGACCCTCGATGTTTTTGAACAGCATTAGCCACTTAAGGACTGCATGATCGGTCCTGATCCAAAATTTCTTTCCATATAAATATTGGTAGGAGTTCCAGTTCTCTTCTCGTCACGCAGTAATTTCGCTCAGGTTTAGAGAGTACAATAACCCAATACTCTTTATTATCCTTTCTGAATCTGCGAAAGTACTCCTCTAATTCCCGCATCACTAGCATCAGTATCCAGAATGAATTCTCCCTATGGTAGTGGGTGACCTAATATTGGCGCTGTGGTTAAACTCTCCTACTTTTTCTGTAAGTCACGTTAATGACTTAGCAATATCTGTAAACTTCCTGATGAATTTTTGATAATACAAACAGAGCCCAAGAAAACTTTTTGGATGTTTATAAGTTGGTTGTGGCCTTAGATTATACAAACCTTAGATGGAACATAAGACACTGCGCATAATCCCATTTCAAAATGATTCACACCCACCAATCACAGTTGAGAACATTACATGTCAGACCGTTGTCCATCCAAATTTAATGTGTCAACGAGAATTAATTTGGTATTTTAGTGACTTAAATTTTGGAAATTAACGTTGAAAATGCCAAGATGTGTTGTAAAAAGCTTTATTTATAATAAACCTGCGAAATGTGACGGAGATAAAAGAAACTTATATTTATTTCGGTGAGATATTTATTTTTTAAAGATTCTGTCGACGTCCATATTTGTTGATTTGAAAATAAACAGAATCGGACTTGGTCATTGGTACATGTTATAAGTAGCAAATAAAGGTTATTATTATAAACTGTTTACTATTTCTTGTTTCATAGGGAATCTTTTTTTAGGAAGTGAAAAGAGAAACAAAATCAAATACAAAAATATCAATTTCATTGCCAATTTATTCGTTTCAAACTTCACAACTGGTTTCAATAGTTTTCCCAAAACTATTTATTTAGTAATTATCTATAATAGTGTTACTCTAAATGTAAAGCCAAAGTTTCCGCGAAGAAAATAATCACAATAAAAAAAAAAACAGTACTATCGCCACAAAATGGAGGGACCTGGCTTGAGGACCGTTTTTTGGGAAGTCATTTTTTTAAGTCACTAACAGGAAAGAGGATATGATTTTGCTTTAAGACTTTTTTTTATTTAATTTTTTATGGGTGAAATAGATTTGGGATAATTTTTGCAAGGAATCTTTGGAATAAATCAAAAATAAATGATGCTCTTGTGCATTTTCAGCCGATTAAATTATTCGTAGATGCATCAAATGTGGGAATAAGGGCCATGATATGTCGTTTTTGAAAAAAAAAAAAAAAAATATTGAGAAATCTATAGTTTCTGCTTCGCGTACCTTATCAAAGTCCGAACAAAAATATTCCCAAATTGAAAGAGAGATCCTTGCAATAATTGTTGGCTTAAATAAATTTAATGAATATTTATATGGACATTTGCATAAAGTAGAACATTATGCAACTGATTACGAAAAGTTGATTATGTCACCAGTTACGAAATGAAAATAAATAAAATTGTCTCTTTTTAGTTTCTAAGTTGAAAAATCGTAAAATCAAGAAATTGAGATACCGAGAAATCGAAAAATCGAGAAATCGAGTAATCGAAAAATCTAAAAATAAAAAATTGAAAAATCCAAAAATCCAAAAAACGAAAAATCGAAAAAACCAAATATCGAAAAAGAGGCAATGAATAGTGACATTTCACATTTGAAAATATGACATTACGTTTAAAAACAAAAAAAAAGCTGTAAATTGCGTTTAATTTTTAAAATAACACCGTTATTGAAAACTGCCCAGAAATGTTGGGGGTAAAATTTTGACGTACTTCTTTAAGGATAATGGGTAAAAATGTTTTTTTTTCAAATTTCTCGCGGGTAATGTCAAAAATTAGATCGGCAACACTGCACATGTCCCTTATTTTTATTATTTCTATTGAAAAAAAAAAAATGTCGTAGGGCAATCAAATACAACAATTTTCTAAAATATTTGATTGGAAGTACCTACACAAGAATGATGGTGAATCATTTTTCAACACAATTTTATAAATAATCACGTCAAAATTAGAAAAAATCTTGTATATAAACACGTTACGAAATGCCGTTTTGTGTAAGTCGTTCATGTTGCGGGAACTCGCTCCGCTCGTTTTGCAAATATTTACTCGTTACACAAAATAAGGCATTTCGTAACTGGTTACATAAATAACTAAATTGACTTTCTAATATTTTAATTCATTGGACGATATTTTCCGTAAATAATTAAATCATAAATAATTACCAGGATATAAGTACAAAAACATTTTTTTCTCTTAGAACAGTACGCCTATGTCAAATAAACTTAAAATATTATAACGAACGAAAAGGTAACCCATTTCTAATAAAATTTAGTTATTTATTTTATTTTGGTGTGATCGTAGAAAAAATCTTGTGTGTAATTCGAGCAAAAAGTACTTATAAACTTTTACTTAGGGTCGACTTCACCGTTTTATTAAACGAAGTTTAAAATACTAAACGAAGATTAAAATGACATTTTTATATTAACAAAAAAGAAGTTTAAATTACTAAATGGAGTTTAAAATTACATTTTTATATTAACAATGTCATTTTAATCTTCGTTTAATAATTTAACTTCGTTTGACACAACGGTGGAATCGGCCCTTGGCTAGTTATGTATTGATAAAGTGTTATTGCCCTCATCATACATGAATCGTGCTAACAAATAAAGTCAAACAAACGTCTCATAATTTTTCATCTTTTAATTACCCACCAAAATTAGGTACTACAATACAAATATTTAAGTCCGGCCCAGAACACCTCCCTACTCCTTCCACCCAGTTTTTCGGTTTTGGCAAAATTCGCGCAGCGAGAAATGCTTCCTATGTTACCTCTACCCTTTCTAACCTCTTTGGTTGTGGCCCACTATCTGATGAGAGACTTTTTCCTTATCTTCAGCCAAGCCATCCTTACTGACTATAATATAACCTAGATAACTGACTTTATTTTGGAATAACCTTAGATTAAAGAGACTAAAGATGTAATATTGCACAAGCGCATGTTGTCTATTCCAACCTTAAGTAACCCACCAATTAAAAATCATTGTTTCCACGACGCTACCCGAATTGCTCCGACATTTCTATTCCACGCTCATCTCCGCGTGAATGAATCATCATGGACTGCCATAGTTTGAATTATTTGTTGGTGTTGTTAGCAATTTAAAGTGTTTTCGTCCCAAGTAACTCAGACCTGCATAATTTAACTGCATATGCTTTGCAAATAGCCTGCAGTAATTTTTCCAACTGCATATTGCTTTTATATAACCTACAAACGTCGAATATGTCTGCACAATATTGTCATATGATCTTTAGTGTTAGATGAACTTAAATATTCTGCATACGATCGGCATATTAACTTTGCTAGTAGATGCTCCCTGCATAAATTAATTAGCGTCTAGTCAAAAGCA